CTGGGAGAGTGTCCGGTTGGCGTGAGTGAGGGAATGAGGCGCGCGCGGAGGAACAGACGGACGTAGAGCCGCACGCCCGTCCCTGCGCTGTGTTTCGGCTCGGTCAGGGCCCCCGGTGCTCGTCCTTTCTTGGGCGAGCCGCCTACAGTGTAACACCCCATCAACACCAGCTGCATGAAACAGTGACAGGCAAAGCAGTAGCAAGCAAAAATAGCTGTAAAGTTGCAAGTAAGAACAAAACTGTAACAGGACACAGTAAGAAAACGATAACATAAGAAAGACTGAAACAGTAAGAGAGTAGTAAGAATTAGAAGCAAAGCAGTAGCAGTGCATCCGTACACCTTATACACCGAACAAAGTACATGGTACCTGCTCTGACAGCGGCTTCATGGATTGACCCCCTACCTGCTCTGACAGCCAACCAACATGAGCACGTGCATGTGCACGTGCCGACTGCGGGCGAGAAGGCGAGGGCAACGGCGTGAAGGCGACGGTGAGGATGAGAAGGCGACGGTGAGGACAAGAAGGCGGCGGTGAAGGCGAGAAGGCGGCGGTGACGGCGAGAAGGCGGCGGTGAGGGTGAGAAGGCGAGGGCGCGGGCGAGAAGGCGAGGGCGCGGGCGAGAAGGCGAGGGCGCGGGCGAGAAGGCGAGGGCGAGGGCGAGAAGGCGACGGTAAGGGTGAGAAGGCGAGGGCGAGGGCGTGAAGGCGACGGTTAGGTTGAGGACGAGACGGTGAGGATGAGAAGGCGACAGTGAGGACAAGAAGGCGTCGGGTAAGGCGAGAAGGCGGCGGTGAGGGTGAGAAGGCGAGGGCGCGGGCGAGAAGGCGAGGGCGCGGGCGAGAAGGCGAGGGCGCGGGCGAGAAGGCGACGGTGAGGGTGAGAAGGCGACGGTCCCGGTCGTAGGAATGGCCCCTTGGGAAGTTTCACTGGCGGGCGGAAAGCAGACCTCTGTCGAAGACCTGCTCGATACTGCGCAGTAGATTTACAGCTTGCTGTACGGCAGCAACTCACCATAGCGAGTCCATTGGACACAACTAAGCCCGCTTGGACGAGGACGTGTCATCCATCCGTTGTATTTCCTTGTGTTAGCTACGTTCGTGATGGGGAATAGGGCAATACCCGTCCATAATAATCAGCAGCAGATGCAAGATTTCTTTGGCGTTGTCGTGGGTGATGAGTGGCCACGGGCAGATCTGTGTAGTAATTAGCTGTAGGTATTACAGCGAGCCCCCAACCCCCAGGGAATCAATACCCCAGGGTAGGGCCAGGTAGTAATTAGTCGTTTGGTTTACCCACCATCGTCCTGTTGCCCTCCGGATGTTGAGCTGATGAGGTGGGTTTGGCCGGTGTCCACATGGTGATGTCGTAGCGCTGAGCCGTTCACGAACCTCTCATATCTCTTTCGCCTTTTACTAAAGAGATCAGCGAGTACGGCTCACAAGAGGCGCATATCCCCATTATTTGCAAGGCTTTTGCCTTCACCCAATCAAATGAATGCAACAAATAGCTTGGTATTCAAACTGGTGCTCCATGGTCAATCGTCCACCCGCGTGTTAGATGAACCGTCCCTTGTCATTGCATAGTCGGCTGAGTGCGATGTCTGAACGGTGTTGTGTACGAACAGAACAATTCGGGTCGCTGTCTGATCCATGCACCGCTTTACATACAGCTTCAGATCGTCAACCTGCAACCCCCCGTCGTCAGCCCCACATTCACCACTCGTGGTCTGCCCGCCCGCATACGACCTCTCGCTAACCAGAAACGGAAATGAGAACGCGGGAAAGGCAAAAGAAGGGACAACGCGGGCCGCTACTAACAGGACCGAGCAACGTGTGCGCGGGTTTTTACCAGAGCGGCCCGCATGTGAATCTGTGAAGCTGCTCATGTCAACCACAATATTATCGGTATCACACAGCACAGTCAGCGGGAAATCATTTTTAACAACAGCACAAGCAACACCAGCGTCTGTGAGCCGTGCCTTTTTCGGGCTTTGTAGGGGGGCGCCGTGCTGGCTTGTCATCCCCCCCGCGGCAATAGGTGTTTTGTTTGCTGTGTCTTGCGCTGCGCTGCACCCGGGAGCCCGCAAACCCCAGGAGGAGACTGGCATGCGGACCAGTTTTGCCTCGTTTGTGAGTGGACCGGCGAGGTAGTGGTGGCCGCCCTCGGGAAGTGTTCGTTGTTCGTTGCTCGTGGTAGTTG